AGTACACGCTCTGGTCACATCCCGCTTGGACTACTGCAACGCTCTCTACGTGGGGCTGCCCTTGAAGATGGCCCGGAAGCTCCAGCTAGTCCAGCGCTTGGCAGCCATGTTACTAACGGGAGCGGGACGCAGGGAGCACACAACGCCCTTGCTGTACCAGCTCCACTGGCTGCCGATTTGCTACCGGGCCCAATTCAAGGTGCTGGTGTTGGCCTACAAAGCCCTAAACGGTTCCGGCCCAAAATACCTGTCTGACCGCATCTCGGCCTATGAGCCCACGAGGACTTTGAGATCTTCCGGGGAGGCCCTTCTCTCGATCCCGCCCGCCCGCCTCTCAGGCACGCCTGGTGGGGACTAGGGATAGGGCCTTCTCGGTGGTGGCCCCCCGGCTGTGGAACACCCTCCCTGTGGACATCAGAGTGGCGCCCTCCCTCATGACATTCCGCAAGAAACTAAAGACGTGGCTCTTTGAGAAGGCGTTTGTGTAAGTGCTGCAACAATTGGCAATGACGATTAGAATGGAACATGGACAATGAGATTTGGATTGTGATTCAACGATGAGACGTGGCGAATGCTTTAGTATAAATGTATTATTGATAGTGTTGCTGTTTATTGTTGTTATGTAATTGCTTTGTTGAAATTGTACCTGGTTTTATATGTTGAGTCGCCCTAGGGCTGAGAAGGGCGGTCTACAAATGTAGTAAATAAATAAATAAATAAATAAATTCATCACCATCCACCAGAAAGGTCAGCAGTTATTGACTCAGTCATCATTCTGCGAATGCAGTATCCCAAAATCATGTTTTTACCTGCTTTCTAAATGTCAGGAGGGAAGAGGCAGATCTAATCTCCATCGGGAGGGAGTTCCAAAGCCAAGGGGCCACCACCAAAAAGGCCCTGTCCCTCGTCCTCACCAAACGCAATTGCGAAGGTGGTGGGACCAAGAGTAGGGCCCCTCTAGAAGATCTTAACAACCTTGATGGTTCATCGGGGAGAATCCGTTCGGACAGGTAAATAGGGTCAGAGCCGTTTAGGGATTTATAGGTCAACACCAGCACTTTGAATTGTGCTTGGAAGCTTATTGGCAGCCAGTGGAGCTGGCGCAACAGAGGAGTAGTATGCTCCCTGTACCCCGCTCCCGTTAGTAATCTGGCTGCCACTCATTGTACTAGTTGTAGCTTCCGGGCAGTCTTCAGAGGCAACCCCACGTAGAGAGCCTTGCAGTAGTCTATACGGGATGTAACCAGAGCATGTACCACCGTTGCCAAGTCAGACTTCCCAAGGTACGGGCGCAGCTGGCACACAAGTTTTAATTGTGCAAAAGCTCCCCTGACCACCACCGAGACCTGGGGTTCCAGGCTCAACGATGAGTCCAGGATCACTCCCAAGCTGCGAACCTGCGCCTTCAGGGGGAGTGTAACCCCATCAAGCACAGGCTGTAACCCTACAATGAGATGAGGCAGAACTCTCCATTAAAACCTAGTGTGTCCAATGTATATCAGTCATTAAAGAACACTTCATGTTGTGCCCCAGAGGTTTTTTTTTTTAACCAAACAACTGTGTAAAGTGCAGTAAAGTCTGTTGTCAATAAATTCACATACTAAGTCTATGGTGATAAACCATGCACCCTGAAGCTGCTTGTGGTTATAATAATCTGATACAGGATGCTTCCTTCCTTTTTCTTTAAGTTAGAATTGTTTGATCAAGAAATTATTATGGAGGTAAATGCTATACATGAGAAATTATCTGAGTAAGCAGAAGGATCATCTGCACATGGATCTGGGTCAATGAGATTTCTTTAAAATACTGGTCATTTTTGTTACGTTACAATATTATTCTTTAGGTCACCTTAGTAACTTTTTTTCTTGGTGTTAAGATTCACAAGTTTGATTGATCATCTACTTATTTGTTGTTAACTGCTGTAAAATCAACTCAAAATCAAGTCATCAGTTTCCCTTCTCAGTTCTTGTAGGTGGACAAATCTCGATCCTCCAGGTGTTTTGGGCTCCAACTCCCAGAAATCCCAGCCAGTTTACCAGAATTGTGGGAGTTGAAGTCCAAAACATCTAGCGAGCTGAAGCTTGCTTATGCCTTTTGTAGATTGAGATCTGTAGCTTCCTTGATTGAGTCTATCCATCTGTAATGTAGCCTTTGCATTTACCTCCTTTCTTCCACTTTGCCAGGCATCATTGTATTTTCTAGTGAGTACTGTCATCTCATTATACATCAAAATTATGACACTCTTTTCGGTCATCTTGTCTTCTATCTACTTGATTTATTTATTTATTTCAACTATTTGTACCCCACCCTTCTCAACACCTGGAGGGAGACTCAGGGCAGCTTACAGCCAGCAACGATTCGATGCCCCCACATACAACATAATAAAATACGATAATTACGTACCGGTAAAAACATTAAATAAATCCAAATTAAAATTTGTTTTAAAATATTACTGGCTGGTTGGCCTTATAAAAACTGAATTCTGTAACCAGTGACTCAATCAGAAACTTGTCCATAGTCCTATTTCACACTGGGGAGCGAGTTCCACAGGTGGGGGGGGCACCACCAAGAAGGCCCTGTCCCTTGTCCCCACCAAGTGCATTTGTGATAGAGGCAGGGTCGAGAGCAGGGCCTCCCCCAGAAGATCTTAAACTCTGAGGTGGGACATAGAGGGAGATATGTTCGAACAAGTACGCTGGGCCGGAACCATATAGGGCATTATAGGTCAAGACCAGCGCTTTCAATTGTGCCCGGAACTGGACCGGCAGCCAGTGGAGCTCACATAACAGGGGGGTAGTATGCCCCCTATATGACGCTCCAGTGAGTAATCTGGCTGCCACCCGTTGGACTAGTTGGAGTTTCCAAACAGTCTTCAAAGGTAACCCCACATAGAATGCATTGCAGTAATCTATTCAAGATGTAACAAGAGCATGGACCACTGTGTCCAGATCAGACTTCCCAAGATACGGGCTGATTCCCAAGGTTGATTTGCTCTAGGAACTATTTATTTGTCTTTGTAGCAGTCTATGGTATGTGTAAAATTCTTCTCTAGCACCACACTTCAAATGAGTTGATTTTTTCCCTATCAACTTTATTCACTGGCAAATGTGTACAATAAAAACTGGAAATCGTATGGCATGGATATTAATAACTTTAATATTCAATAATATAACTTTTTATTGTTTCTTCATAACTGCCCTTCCAAGCTGTCTTCTGATTTTTTGACTGCAGTTTCTATTCTGATTAATGAAGGAGTCAAGGTTTGGAAAATCTTGAACTATTTCTCTTCTTCATCTGTTTTAAATTTATGGAAATAATCTGTGGTCATTATTTTTGTTTTCTTTATGTTCAACAGTAAACTTGCCTTTTCACTTTCTTCCTTGACTTTTTAAGTAATTGTTCCAAGTATTTGCTTTTTGCTGCTAGTATCATCTGAATATCTTAAGTTGTTGATGTTCCTCCTATCAATTTTCATGCTTCCTTCCTGCCTAATCCTGCTTTATCTATGACAAGTTCCCTTTCCAATTCTATTTCTTCATATTTTGCCCTGAGAGCAGTCTCTTATCCTGAGTATACTTTAAATTTCAACATAATAAAATAAGGCACACACAGGTTTTTTAAAAAGCTAACCATACCTATTTTATTATTATTATTATTATTATTATTATTATTATTATTATTATTATTATTATTAAACACTTTTCCTATTAATTGCAGCATTTATAGCTTGCACCTGGTATTAATTGGATACAAATGGTATGGATTTGTCAATTATTTATTAATCTGTATACAAATGGTATGAATCTGTAAGTTATATATTGGCGTGTACTACCTGTTTATTAAAATATAGCCTACTAGGTAAGTTCTACAATGTGTTCAATTAATATGTAGGTATTAAGTTATGTCAACTTACAATGTTTACTTAAATAGATTCATCTATCAATTTATTATGAATATCCATTCTTCATTTTCTTCTCACTCAAGCTATTATGTATTGTTTGCAAATGA